AATGACTCAGTGGGGTTCGAATCTGATTTGATTCAGAAACTACTGTTTAAACCTATTAAAGATATTCCTTCAATCTCCTACAAGAGGGTGCTTCTTGTAGCCATTACCTCTGCAAGGCAAAGGGCTGATTGGGTGGATTTATTTTGCAAGTGTGGTGTTGAGGGCCACAATTCTCTGCTTGCCTTTCACCTCAACCATGACTGTGTTCTTCTGTCTCTTTGCCTTACTTCCAGCTCACCAGTAGCATCATGCATCTGAAAACATTGTTAAAAAAAAAAAAAAAAAAAGATCCAGAGAAACTCATACAAATATATACTCTATAATGTTAGGAATTCTGTACGGGTGTATGTACAGATATGTTAAGTGAAGCAATTACAACAGTTCAGATGAGTCAGGATGGCCAAAGGTTCTTTGATCTATCTAGACATGATGCAGCAGCCATCATCCTTAATGTACGTCTTCATGCTGCATTCATAGCAGTAACAAGAGAGCTCGTCTTTCCATGTCAGTGAAAGCGTTGTGTACAAACTCAGGTTTCCACATCATCCTCTTGTATCCCGCATGACCAAACCTAAGAATGCAACACATAAAACAGTTACATCACAGAAGTGCCTCTCATTATGACTTACATGCATCTTAAGGTGTTAAAAGGTTAGTTCATCTTTTCACAAACAATGAAAAGGTGAAATCATTCAATTTTCCCAGCCCCCGATGCCTGCTGCATGTACCTTACGTGATCACCATGTTCCACCACCCCTTCCAGCCAGTATAAAGGTTTGACACTTTAAAGCATCACTACACAGCACCAGATGCAGTGTAGCATCATAATGTGAGCAACTGCAAACACTCACTGGTGTGCACTGGCCAAGTGATCACACTGACCAATGAGAATCCTTGCAGTGCGCACTACTGCAAGCAATATGTTGCTATAGAGAAGGGGTGTCAAACTGGCATCCCTCCAGCATGTTACATGTTCCCTCTGCCTTTGGGAGTCATGCTTGTAACTTTCACTCTTGCAATGCCTCATGGTATTTGTAGTTTGGCAACAGCTGGAGGGCCGCCAGTTTGACACCAATGCTATAGAGCCTCCAGCACTGTTGAATAAAGTTTTAAAGTGCCGGTCCATTATACCAGCTAAAGAGGCTGGTGAAAGGTGGGAGAATCACAATAACCAAGGGGGGTACTTGGGGTTATTGTCGGTTCACCTTCTCATTTTTTTTTTGGAAAAAGGTGAACTGATCTTTTACAGAGGTTCTTCACTGGAGAAGAATAAAACCACCAATATGCCACAGTTAAATACCATGCTGTTCGAACAGCAAATAGGAATGTGTAGGGAGGGGCTTTGGAGCAAGCTTTAAAAGGAGCAGTTCACCTTTTTGGTATTTTTTTGCAGGTAAAAAAAAAAGTGTGCATTTCTTATTTTTGTCTACATGAGCCTGGAAAGCATTGTAACCAGTGATCAGTAGATCGCTGATGCCATGCAGGTCTCCTGCAGACCTGTCAGAATATCTGCTTGCCGTACGGGATGTATGAGCAAGCAGATATACTGACAGGAAGCTTCAATGAACTGCCACGGCGCCGTGGTAGTTCATTGAAAACTTCAAGCCAACAGCTGCTAAGGCTGACGGATTTTCAATTCCGTGAGTGAATGATGTGGCCGTGTGGGCGGAGCCCCGTACGACCACGCTGTTTTTCAACTTTGACAGATAGTACGGTGAGATTTCTCCCCGTACTATCTGTCATAGGGAGGGGGCAGCGGCTGCGGCTATGGGTACATGTTACATGTTCCACCCTAAAGACAGTTGGAACATGTAACATGTTCCCAAAGGTGAACTTATCCTTTAAAACTGCCCACAAGTACTGAACCATTGTCAGAAGTGGTTGTGACAGCAGAGTTTGGGAGGCTGCTGTGCTCAGTAATTCTTTGTGCCAAACCTTATATATTTTCTGAATGCAGATACCCTAGAGAGTCGTAGTTCCAATTTTTTGTGTCACACGATATTACTCCAAAGTGACCTAATTTTTGGTAAACCATAAAAGATAGAGTTGTGGTGAGTAAACAGATACTCAACATATCAAACCTTAAATTTGTGTGCAACAAACTTCAGTACCCTATATTTTCTATAGGCAACACTTCAAAAGCCCCTATAGGTCAATTAATATTACAGAGGAGCTCTCTTGCTATAATTATCGCGCTCAATCTGGCATGCGCAGCGATATGTAACATGTGTATCACAATTGATGTTTTCACGCGTAGGCGCCCTGCCGTGTGCATTTACGTTTATAGGGTGCGTATAACGGGGAGCCTCAACATTTTTTTTGGGGGGGGGGGGGGGGGGATGTTATGTGCTTGATTGTAACAATTTTTGCAATAAAAAGACTTTTTTTTTCTTAACTTTTTTTATTCACCACACGGGGGACACAAAGTTCCCCTATGTGATGATTTTTTAGGTGACAGGTTCTTTTTATTGAGACATCCAGGGTCTAAAAGACCTTGCATGTCTAATCTAGGTTTCACTGGATGTATTGCACTGCAGATTGCATTCTAGCCAGGGAAAGTGACAGCTGCGACCCAGAAATAACGTCACACATGTCACCTTCCGGGGTCACAGAAAGATGTACGTTCGCTCTCCTCTCCACCCACCATGGTTCTCCCTGGGCCCGCATACATGGTGGGAGCGGGCACATTGGGGGGAGGTGGTTGGCGATGCACCAGTACCTGACATATGGACCTGGTGGTGAAAGGGTTAATATAAGGACACTTACCTGTCAAGGGATCCAGCACTGTCCTCACCCAAGCCAATTCTTCAATGGGTTTTGGGTCCAGGCACCAGAATCTTAACCAAGGGAAACCAGCTTTACACTGTGCATACGCGAGCCGCACTGCGCTTTGTAAATGGTCCCACAGTCTTCTGGAACCTGTAATGTGTCACGGAAGGCTGCTGGTGAAGGGTTTGAAATTCCGCTCGGATCACCTAGGCATCCGGGTGGAAGTAGGAGGGGGTACCCGTCAAAATCAGGTACCCCCCCCAATTGTTAAAAAGGAGGGGGAGGGAGTTAAATAAGCGGAATTTTCCCATTTGGGTGAAGTTCTGCTTTAATTACATTTTGAAACCAAAAAAGGCAATAAAGTTGTTAATGCAAAATGCAATTTAGATTCCCAACAGGAATGGGAGACTAACAAGCACATGCAAAATTACTCTGGGAGGATATTACCAGTAAGAGCAGTAGAGGAGACTGCTCCACCTTCTCATGCCTCCACCTTAATATTACTATGGTTTATAGAATCCACATTTGCAACAGAATTTTAACCTCATTGGAAATATATCTGATTTTACATGAGTATACATGTTTTCTTTGCTATTTACTCTAGGTATCTCACACACATTTAGGTATTAAAATGCACATGAAAACCCTACTTTTTCTTTCTGGATATACAATATAGACCTGCTGCAGGAAATTGGGCCTTTCTGCGCCACTCTGCTGCTTCTGTATGGAAACACACTATTTCAGATACTGAGATTCCACCCAACAACGAACCAACCAATATGTGGGATGGGAATTCACTTTAAAAACTCTTACCTATAAGGAATTGATTTGTTAATGAAATTTCCTGAATGTCTGAAACACAGATCACTGGGTCAGGACGTGGAAAGGACCCATTTAAATCACTTCACCGACACCTAGGGGCCTGCTTATAAAGCAGTGAATGTGACATTCACTGCAACTTAAAGAATAAGTTCACCTTTCTCAACTTATTAGGAGGTGTAACATGTTGAGCGTAATAATGTTCCTACACTCACACAAACAAATACCTGAAAATATATATAAAAAAATATATTAAAATTATATTAGAGATCGATTGGTGTGCAATAGCCGCTTACGGAAAGCTACCAGTTGGTGACATAAAGTGCATCTTGACTTCCTTTTCAATTAAAGGGGTCAACAGTTTCCAGTGAGTGTACTGTGCATTCAGTTGGTGAAGAGGAAGAGCACATTTGTGATGTCACAGAATATCATCACCTACATTATTTTTGACTGTTTACATCACTGAACACTTGTTTCTCTTTTTCATTTTGTGTCACAATTTATTTATACACAAATCTTTCACCTATTGTTTGGTTATTTGATAGCACATTTTTCATTGGAGTAAGGGTTTATGATAGCAAAGTCAGATCCCTGGGGTTTATATCCCTTGGGATTCTGAGTATACATGTTGAGCATTAAGCACCTCTGCCCCTGATCACCCCCTCCTTCTCCCTGCGCCTGCTGTCACAATTTGAAAACAGTGCAGCTTGTGGTTCTTCATGAACCGCGAGGGTACTAGTGAGAACTCTCATAGTCCATTGAGCTTCCTGGTCTTCTGTAACTTTTGCCTGCCCCTATCGGAACTACAGGCAGACAGTGTACTGAAAGTCTGCAGGAGCCTGACATTGCACCCACAATTTGCTGATCATGGGTGAAATGCTTTACAGGCTCCCAAGACAAAAAAAAAAATAATAATTTTTACCTGCCAAAAAAACATGCATTATTATTATTTTTTAGGGTGAACTTATCCTTTAGAACACATGCACCAGTAATGTTTGGTGAATGTCACATTCCTTAAATACACCCCCTAAATGGTAATTTTTCTCCAATGCTGGACAAACATGAAACAATATCACTGTTCGATATAACACAGTTTCAATGAAAGATTCGCATCTTCCAGAAGTGTACTGCATTGTACAATTATTCAAAAACCACAAATATATTTTTATTGAAAAAGGAAAAAATTCAAATAAATTAGACCAAATCAATCAAATGATAGTTTTAAGCAGAAGGTCATTTCAAATGATCAAGCACTTGTTTATCTTTCACATGTACAGCCAACATTAATTTCAACACAATTCTCCAATGAAAACCTTTTGATGTAAGCCAAATCAGACAAATACCTGTTTATATTATTATGCTGGGTATTACAAAAGGCAAGTCCATGTGCAGAAATTCCATCCTGACTTGGTTTATGCAGATCCAGATGGGTTTGAAGGGGGTCTGATGAAAACCCCAAGCTGTTTTGTATTCACATCTTTCAGCTGTTCCAGTTGCCTACGGCCACGGCGCACCAGGTACTCAATACGCATAACATCAGTCCTTGGGATCTTGGCGTTCTTCCTGAACTCATGCTGGATTTGGGGAAGGGACCCTGGCTTGTCTTTGCCAGCCCGTAAAAACTGTTTATACAGACTGAGAACTTGTTTCTGGAGGTTGCTATGTCTTATCATTGTAGCACTGGACCAGCATTCTAGGAAAGCAAAAACAGACATTGGTATTGTATTGTACTAGCATCGTTAGGCCTCCCCAATACAATCTATGTTGTATTATATCTGAATTTCTTTAGGTTACCTGTACCTAGGAGAACATCTATGTAATGTCCTATTTAAAGACACATCACCTTGCCCTTGCAAAGGGTACCCCAAACCCCTTACATATTAATCTTGCCTGCACTGCTTTCTCCGTCACAGCCAGCGACACTGCCGGGCACTTCTGGGTATGGGGAAACATGTGACCTGCTGACAGTGCTGAGGCATAGCAGGCAATTTCTGGGGCCGGCCACTGTCACAACAGGAAGTCCAGTTCACTGTGCATTTGGAAAATCTTATTGTAATCACTAGTTCTTACATCATGGCAAGTGCCATTTACCTACCCCGGGCAACACTAAATGGTCCAGTTCCTATCTGAGCACTCTAGTGATGGAACTGGCCCAGTTACACAATCCCTAGTTGTTGGCAGTGCTAAACAATAAGATGTATTACACAGTAAAAGTGAACTCCTAAAATATACTAAGCTATATATATATTTACAGTATATGTAGCTGCAGTATGCATGCCTATTTCCCAGTAGGAAAAGGCAGATAAAATGCAAATGCAGATGTTACTGTTGGAGGATATTACCAGTAAGAAGCAGTAGAGGAGACTGCCCCACCTTCTCATGCCTCCACACGCTCTCATTACAATGACATCTGTAAGTTGGTGGGATATACTAGGCAGCAAGTGAACATGGTGTCCCTGAAGCTGATTAAGTGTTAAAAGCAGACAAAATGGGAAAGCATAAGGATTTGAGGGACTTTGACAAGGAATCAGATTGTAATGGTGGATGCCTGGGTCAGAACAGCTCTTATAGGATGTTCCCTGTCTGCAGGACTGGTCGAAGGAAAACTGGAAAACTGGTGAACTGGTGACAGGGCCATGGGTGGCCAAGGCTCACTGATGCGTGTAGGGAGTGAAGGTTGGCTTGTGTAGTCCAATCAAACAGAAGAGCTACTGTGGCTCAGATTGCTGAAAAAGTTAATGCTGGTTCTGATAGAAAGGTGTCAGAACACCTGCAAACGTTGCAGTTTGCTGTGTATGGGGCTACATAGCTACACACTGGTCAGAGTGCCCATGCTGACCTGTGTCCACAGTGAAAGCGCCTACAATGGGCATGCGAACATCAGAACTGGACCACAGAGCAGTGGAAGAAGGTGGTGTGGTCTGATGAATCTCGTTTTCTTTTACATCATGTAGATGGCTGGGAGCATGTGCATTGTTTACCTGGGAAAAAGATGGCACCAGGATGCATGATATGAAGAATCAAGCTGTTGGAGGCAGTCGGGTTTATTTACTAAAGCTGGAGAGTGCAAAATCAGGTGTAGTTCTAAGGTTGGAAGCTGATTGGCTACCTTGCATAGGTGCACCAGATTCTGAGTGAACCAGCTTTAGTAAATCTCCCCCAGTGTGACTTACAGGACTTAACCACTTCTGGAGCAGCGACATACCCATACACCGCTGGACATTCTGTGGTTGTACTGGATTGGTGCCTGCAGCTGCAGGCATCACCCCAATGCCGTTTTTTTAAAGCTGGTGGTCGGCTCTCTTGTATAAGTAATCGGAGAAGCTACTAGCTGCTCAAATGCTTGTACAAGCATTGGGAAGGGAAGTTGCCCCTCCAGCTGCCTCCCACCACTCTTCTGGGATCTCTTGTCCCACTGGGAGTCCTGATTGACCAACTGGCACATCTGCTGGCTGGCTGAACAGCCGAACAAAATCAGAATTGGCTTTGATCAGCTCTCCTTTATTGTAAACCGGAAGCAATGACCTGACATTACTTTCGGTTTACTCTGAAACTTTAGGAGGCATTTTTAAAAATCTGAAAGCATTCAAAACCACAGATCTTGATGTTTTGAATGTTTTTAAGTTAAGAGGGTTTTGGTGACTCAGCCTCCAGATCCCTCCATATAAATACCTGTCATGTGTCTATTGCTGTCACAGCGGATGTTTACATTCCTTGTGATAGCAATAAAAGTGATTAAAAAAATAAAATTGACATTGTACAAATAAAAAATTTTAAAAAAAAAATAATGTATGTGCCCCCGCGCACAAAGGCGAACACACAGTTTGGTCCATCGCACAAGCAAACAGCAATCATCCCACACGTGAGGTATCACCGCAATCACCAGACCATGGGTAGTAATTCTAGCGCAAGAGCCCCTCTGTAAATCTAAAGTGGTAACCTGTAAAGGCTTTTAAGTGTCACCTATGAATAGTAACATTGTCGCTGTTGCATGGGCATGTGCAGTTTTAAAGTGTGACATGTTTGGTATCTATTTACTCAGTATAACATCATCTTTTATATTTTACAAATCAAGTGGGTTATGTATTGTGTTTTTTTGCAATAAAATTCAGAAAAGTGTATTGTTTTCACAAAAAGTGCGTTTGAAAAACCGCTGAGCAAATATCATGTGACATTAAAGAATGCAAAAACCGCCACCAATTTATTCTCAAGGGCAGTGGTCTCCAAACTGTGGCCCTTTGATTACCTTTATCTGGCCCTTGGGGCACTATTCCTCCCACTGATATGAGGCACCATTCCTTCTACTAACACCAACATTGGGACATAATTCCTCCCACTGATATGAACTACAGAACACTATTACTTCCACTAACACTATAGATGGGGCACTTTTCCTCCCACTGGTACCATCATTGGGATACTGTTCCTGCCACTGACATCAACAATGGGGCATAATTCCATCCACTGATATAAAATATAGAGCACTATTACTCCCACTAACACTAATAATGGGGAACTTTTCCTCCCGCTAATACCATCGATAGTGCACTACTCCTGCCACTGACACCAATGCTGGAGCACCAGTCCTTCCCTGACACCAATGTTGGGGCACAGGTCCTTCCACTGACAACAGTATTGGGGCAAATTTTCTTTCATTGACACCAATGTTGGGGCACTATTCCTCTCATTGATATTAATAATAAAGTGCTATTCCTTCTACTGATACCAATGATTGGACACTATTTCTGCTGCATTTTTCACTCCCACTGGTTACAGTCCGGCACCCCTAAAGTCAGAAGACCAGAAAACTGGCCCTTTGATCAGAAAGTTTGGAGACCCCTGCTCTAGGGCCTCTACTTAAAAAAAAAAAAAAAAAAATATATATTATATATATATATATACAGGCAGTCCCCGAGTTAAGTACATTCGGCTTACGTAATACTCATACTTACGTACACTTCCCTCGGGACCGGAAGTCAAGCTGTCAGCATTCTTGTGCAGCAAGCTGATAAGAGACTAGCTGATAAGAGACATCAGAGAGACATAAGAGACAGAGACATCCATTGCTCGTTACTTGTGGGGCTAGCAGTGTCTGCCCACTATCTCCAAAGTGATTTAAGACTGTCTGTCTGCACCTCCGGGGAGAGGAAAGGAGAGGCTGTCAGGCTGCTCACTGAAGTGATCCTCCGTCTGTGCAGGGGGGAGGGGGGCAGCGTGTGCTGTGTAAAGGAGAGCAGAGTTCTCTCATACAGTACATTACAGTACAGTGTATTTTTACCCTGCAATAATGCCTCCAAAGCAAAAAGCTTGCAAGTGCTGGCACAGCAAAGAAAAGAAAAACAATCTCCTTGGAAGATAAAGTAGAAATAATAAAGAGATCAGAGAGTGGTGAAAAATCATCATCCATTTGCAAAGCATATGGTTATGCTCCGTCAACAATTTCAACAATTTTAAAAGATAAGAGTAGAATAATGGAGCATGTAAAATGTAAAACATTGTTAAATATGTTAAGGCAAACCCAAGCTGCAGTTCTTATGCAAAACACCAGTTTAGAGCTAGGGCTGCTTTCTGTAACCTTAAAAAAAAAAATAAAAGTAGTTAATAAATGCCTGATAACTATGATAAATTCGACTTATGAACAAACCTACAGTCCCTATCTTGTACGTAACCCGGGGACTGCCTGTATATATATAAATATATATAATAAATAAATAAAATGTTTGGGGGTTCTAAAACATTTCCTAGCAAAAAATACTGATTTTAAAATGTAAACAAAAAATGTCAGAAATGGCTTAGGGCTAAAGTTGTTAAAAAACCTGCTACTGATGTTTTGGTGCCAGATTCCACAGCATACCTTCAGAGGTACAGTAGCATCCATGCCACGATGGGTCAGGGCTGTTTTGGCGGCAAAAGGGGGACCTACTCCATTTTAGATGGGTGGTCATAATGTTGTGGCTAATCAGTGTAAACAATATCCTTAATCTTAAAAAAAAAAATAACCCCACTTATAAATGGCTCTGTAATCTATTTTTTTAACAAGTTCCTTTCTGTTTTTTCTTCCTCCTTGTAATGTCCTCCATTTTTTTTTAAACCAGAGCTTAGTGTCACTTTAACTGAAAAATGGACAGATCTTTACAACATAGCTGATCCTTTCATCTTCAATTCAATACAACAAAATCAAATGAAATAATCCTGTGAACAAATCAATAATTGCTGGCATTGATCAGAAAATCCAAACACTTAGACCAGTGATCTAAGCCAACTTATGAGCTACAGGGGGGGTTCAAATGCAGCCCCTGACATCACTAAAGGGCCGCACATAATGGTCAATATATAAAATGTTTGAGAGGACTGTCAGAAACTGCAGACCTATTAGAGGAAATGAGGGTCATAGAGTGTGGACCTGCTACACTTTAGCTTGGGGATTCTGCTGCCGAAGACCATACGACACTAGGGACGTTACGTGAGGCTGATAGACATCAATGCTGTTATCATGATCAATGTTCCCACTACAGACTGATGAGGACTGAGGGCTGCACATCGCACACCAAAGGGCCACAGATAGGGCACCATGGACCAATAAATATATACAGCAGTGCACATTGTGGATGTTATTTCAATATAACAAGCTCATTTTACGCAGCACATTGGCAAAACAAGCAATGCTTATGTG